TGCTTAAAGAACCTAAAAGGTCATTTGAAAGTTTTATTTTTATTGTCACTGCCTCCAAAATACATTCCATAACTCAGTTTAATGTGATCTGCAGCAGGCCAAGAGTTTTACAAGCCAAGATATTATGTCTAGTCCAGTGAGAGACACGACAGAGTTCAGTGAAGAGGGGAGAGTGAAGATCTAGTTTGAGAAATGTAATTTTGCAATGCCTATAAAACATGGAAGGAAAATATCTCTCTGCATTCAATTTTGATGACTGAATGTGCTCATGACCTTTCCTAAGGTAGAGGAACCCTACCAAACCCTTTATGAGGAAACAGACGAATGTCTGAGGACATCTGTTTAACAGCACGTCAAGACAAAGTTCACCCACCTCCTAGAGTAGTCCCTGCTTCTGTAGATAATTCAACTTTCTTCTGGCTTCATCACCTACAAGCCTCCATAGTCTGCAAGCCAGTGCAGAGAATAGTAGGGCAGGAATTTGCTCGTGTGTTACTACTGATACTGCATCCATCCACTGCATCTTCAGACAAGGAGATGTACTGTAGGTAATTTGCACATATTAGATACAATTTTCATGTAAAGAGACCCTTTATCAGGCCACTTTGATCTCCCTAAGTACAAAATACTTCAAACTACAGGCGGGTTCATCTGTGTCAGACTGGCCTGTTGCGTTGTGGGGGGAAGAATTCACTTATTTGAGTCTGGACTGTGATTCTGACTGCTGTTATCCTCCTGGTTGCCTGTTGATGGTGGACAGCTTTAATCTTGCCAGTGGTCACCATAATTTGCAGTATTTGGCCCCACATGCTTATTTTATACAAGTCAGCAGCTGTCAGCATTTATGGGAACCATTCTGTCGCTGAAAACATTCTTCACAGCTTTGCTTTTTATTTTCTTGACAATCTCAATATGACCACCAAAGTTCTACGTTGTTTGGAGCTCTTTTCTCCTAACTGCTGGCCTTAAAAGCTTAGGTCACTGGAATATCTTAAATCCAAGTCATCTTTCTCTCTATTATAGGAGAGCTGAGATAAGTTAGAACAATCAACTGAGGGATGCAAAGAGATTGTTCTGTGGAGACCAGTGACAAGTGGTGTTCCTCAGGGGTCGGTACTGGGACCGGTACTGTTCAACATCTTTGTCGGCGACATGGACAGTGGAGTCGAGTGCACCCTCAGCAAGTTTGCCGATGATACCAAGCTGTTTGGAGAGGTAGACACGCTGGAGGGGAGGGATGCCATCCAGAGGGACCTGGACAGGGTGGGCCCAAGCCGACCTCATGAAGTTCAACAAGGCCAAGTGCAAGGTCCTGCATCTGGGTCAAGGCAATCCCGAGTACAAATACAGGCTCAGTGGTGAATGGCTGGAGAGCAGCCCTGAGGAGAAGGACCTTGGTGTGCTGGGTGACCAGAAGCTCAGCATGAGCCAGCAATGTGCAATCGCAGCCCAGAAGGCCAACCATGGCCTTTTCTGCATGAAAAGAAGTGTGGCCAGCAGGTCAAGGGAGGTGATTCTGCCCCTCTACTCCACTCTCATGAGACCCCATCTGGAGTACTGCATCCAGCTCTGGAGGCCCCAACATAAGAAGGACATGGACCTGTTGTAGCGTGTCCAGAGGAGAGCCACGAGGATGATCCGAGGGCTGGAGTACCTCTCCTATGAGGAGAGGCTGAGAGAGTTGGGGCTGTTCAGCCTGGAGAAGAGAAGGCTCCGGGGAGATCTTATTGCGGCCTACAGGAGAGCTGGGGAAGGACTCTTTACTAGGTCATGTATTGATAGGACGAGGGGCAATGGTTTTAAACTGGAAGAGGGCAGGTTTAGATTAAAAATTAGGAAGAAATTTTTCACTTTGAGGGTGGTAAGGCACTGAAACAGGTTCCCCAGAGAAGTTGTTGAGGCCCCATCCCTGGAGGTGTTCAAGGCCAGGCTGGACGTGGCCTTGGGCAACCTGGTCTAGTGGGAGGTTCCCTGCCCATGGCAGGGGGTTGAAACTCAATGATCTTCAAGATCCTTGCCAACCTAAACCATTCTGTGATTCTATGATTTAATTACAGCTGCGTATGTCCCAGCAATCCATTGAGTATTGTCATTCCTACTTGTTTTGCAGTACACAAAAAGTACAAACCCAGGGTTGGCTTCTGTTGTGAGAGTCGTACAGCAAACCCAGAACAGAGTTCTTTCCTTGTCACTTGCTGCATACAGTATTTCTTTTTTTTCAGTCAAGGGTTAATACATGAGGTCCTCAGACTAAGACTGTAGTACGTTTGATAAGTAGGCATCTGGAGATTCAAAGAGAAATCTTGCTTATGTAAAGGAAGACTCCTTGGGTTTCTTCCTCGTTTTTCCATGAAGATGGTTTCTGCCATGGGATTTTAACTCCTGATTATGACTTCTGAATATAAACTCTTGTAATTTTCTTTAAAGAGACCTATACGTTACTGTAAATCTATTTGGCTTTTCCTAGTAAACTTGTAATCCTGGCACTCAGGCTGATGGAGGAATTTAAACAACTGCATTCTGCGTGATGGAAGTTACAGAGGCACGTGTTCCCCTTTCAGTTGTTAGACAGAGTCTCAGCCCAGTTATTTGTGCAGTAGTAATTGTACTGACCTAAAGAAGGTAGTTCCAGATTTACATTGTCATAAATAAGACCAGAATTTTGCTTATTCTAGTGCATGACCGGCATTAGCAGAGCACCTCAGTTCCTATTAAATGTTTACAAACAGGAATAACAATTGCTTGTTCTCTCGCCCTTCCTGCCTTACCATCTGACAGGAAAAATAGCTTTGTTTTACAGTGGTTATTGTGCTCAGTTTGTGAATGTGAGCGACTGATTATGGTCTGAGAGAGTTGGGGATATGTCTGAGAGCAATCATGAATACATTTGGTTTGAGATGTCTGCAGAAGTGTCTAAAATGTGGAAATTTGTTTCTCATTTGATTTTCCAGTTCACTTTTGCCTTCAGTGGGAAGATGTAATGTCATCTAGATGGTCATCCTGTGAAAGTTCAGTCCCCTGTACACGTATTTTATAACATGGCTCTACTATCTGGTGGCCAAGCTAGCTATGGGCTGCGTTTGGCTGCATCTCATAGAGGGTACAGAAAAATACACGTTCAGGGGAGAGATGGTGTGGCTAGCTAAAGCAGGTGAACTGCATAGGGAAGTCTTTGCTTTTAATGAGACAGAAGTGTTTCTACTGCAGCTTTCTTGGATTTGTTCTTTCTCTCCTGATACAGTTCATTTTGATACAGAAATAAGCGTTGAGATTCACTGAGACCTTAAGACCCTAAGGTATTTCATAGCTCATGTCTAGAAATTAACGTTTGTCACCATAGACATTTGGATATCAAATTTGAGAAGTATAAAAGGGTGCTAGTGATGAGGACTGACTCAAAAGTCCATGTTGGGTATTCTGCACCATGGACACCAGAGTATTTTTTGATGTGTATTGCTCTTCAGGTAGTCTGTCTTAATCTTAGCTTTAGCAGCTGCATTTACCCTTGTACTGCTTCACGCTAAGCATTGTTAAACTTGGTAGATGTTGCTGATTAGTATTGTAGGAGAATGTGGCTATCATAAAAGGCTGCCATGCAGACTCCTAGTCGTGTTTAATAAGTGCGCAAATGCTGGAGGAAAAAGGAGTGTGCCTTGAAGAAAAACTTTCAAGTAAGGGTTTGATAGTGGAGGAACAATTACCCATGTGGCACTCCCAGCTCATTTGAATAACCTCAGTAACTGATGAAAGCCGTTTGCCTGTCAGATCATATTCATCCTACTTGCATGGTATCAAATGTTCAACTATGCCGTATTTTCCCTTTCTCTTATCTCCTTGTTTCTATACTGATCCATTCCCTCCTCTCAATCCAGCTAGACCCTTGAATGCGACCACCCAGTTTCAGTTACATGGATTGACTATCTCAATAAGTTAGAGGTCTTAATTGTGCTAGATGACAGCGATGCAAGAAGTCCTTAACCACTCTCTGCAATTGGTTTCTCTACGTGTTTCCTCTAGACTTCATTATTTTGGGGCTCCAAATATATTTTTTTCAACATAAAGTCATTGTTTATGCTTTGCATGCAGCTTAAACTTCTGAATGTGCGTTGTGTACTTGAGGAACATCAAAGTATGGAGTGAACACCCCATTTGTGTCTTGAACTAAAGCCCATCCACCTGAAAATCATGGCACCAGTAAAAACAGGAGGATGCTAATGCTCAGTGTGTGCAGACACATAGTCACTTGTTTCTGAACAAAGAAAGCACTCACAGGTCTTAGAAGTTTTATGTCGGGGCTAATGTTCAGAACACTTTATAGAAAATTAAGAAACAAGATTTTGGCCTAGATTTATCATTGAAATTCAACTAAAATGCTGCACACTGCTAATGGCAAAGATGACGCAAATGGGGCTAGGACCCGGGAACATTACAGAAGAAAGGGGAGCATGTATGAAGACAGTAGTTCTAATGCTTTGAATAGACTATAAAATAGTTACATTTTTAATCTTTTAACTTTTGATGTTGGGCTTTTTTTACACCTTTAAAGGGTCACATAGGATTTAATAGTGATAAATTTAATCGAGCCCTATAAAGATCCAAAAGCTCTTTTAAAAAATCTTTATGAAACTATAAAATAATAGGGCAGATGATACTTTCTAAGGACTGAAAATAAACTGATACAATTCCAGAGAAAAAAAAATGCTGTGGTATTTTTCCTTAAAAGTTTTTTTTGACTAAATGTCAAGTGACAAGTGTCTTTTTGCCTGACTGGAGCTGCTGGGTACGTGATGCTCCAATGGATTTGGCATAGGGAATTACTCAGTATTTCTGAACTTGAGGCCCTGACCACAGAGCAACTTTTGATTTGACTCAGCTTGCATGTTAACAGGGTTTTTTTCAGCTGAAAATCTTGTGTAACTATGGCTTCTAATTTCTTGCATTTTCCTTGTTTTTTTGTGGGTTTTTTTTCTGGCCTGCTTTCGGAATTTATGACCATGCAGTGAGAAGGACACTAAAGAGCGGACTGACACCAGAAGAAGCCAAAGCACTGGGCCTCATCAGCACCTCTGAGATGCAGGTTTGACGTCCCAGAGGTGGCGACAAGAAGAGCCATTCAACTGAAGCACACAGGCTGACAACCCTTCGGTGTGGCATTGACCTGCCAGCCTCCTCTGCTGCTCCCAACATCCAGTCCTCTATTAGTTCGATTCTAGTAAGCAACAAAAGCGAAACCCCACAGCCAGGGCAGAAGAAGGCTGTGCCGCAGCTCAGCGCAATGTCCGGACAGTAACTGAGGAAGCATTTGAGTGCTTGTAGGTGAAAGCATATGGCTGCTTCTTCTCTCATGGTGTGTTGATGTGGGTAGGAGGGGGCTCTCTCTGAGTTATCTGTCATGTGAGCTGTGTTTACGTTGGCTTTCCTCGTGCCCTGTTTCAGTCATTGTAAATGTATGGCATTTTGTCAATGCAAGGAACAGTCCTTAAAGAGGCAAAATAACTCCTGTTACAGCGACCCCAATTTTCCTGAAGCAGATGCATTAAGCAAAGATGCACAGTCTGTGCAACCCTGTGGTTTGGGTTTTTTTTTCTATTATTATTTTGCCACCAAAGAATGTAAAAATGTATGAGTACCTCTGTATATGTACAGAATGAATGTGTGGAGATGTGTGCATGTATCTATACACATACAGTCATGGTGTGAAATCACGCTCCTGCTCAAGCTAGCTGGATCATGATTTTCACTCTGGGGCCTTACTGTTCCACCTGGACAGGAGGAAAAGAATGTCTTTTTGTAGGAACTCAATGTTACTCAATGGGATTGACCCTGTGGGGCAGAAGATGGCCTGCAATACAAGTGGAAAGTTTGGGGTCCTGAATTCATGTGTATGAATACACACTCATACTGTACATAGCAGCATGCACACCGAGGAGGGGATGCAGAAGACCTCCCTCTTGTTGAGCTATGGCCGTACTGTGCATTTGTACAGTTTCAAAGAGATCTATGCCAACAATTTTACATACTCGATAAATGCATTCAGATACTAAGATCAAGAAGTTTTGTTCACTTGCCTGTGCCCTTCATGCTGCTTTTCTCTGCTGCAAGGTAATGTGGTGGTGATTTTATTTCACATTAACGGATCTGAATATGAAATGGCCCTGCTAAAAGCCTGCTGTGTTTTCGCTGTTCTTTACTCTTTTTTTGTGATTATCCTTGATGCAAGTGGAGAGGGTACCACAGTGAACACTCCAGTATGTCTGCCCTTATCTCACTGTTTTATAACTGACTTTTATAACTGCCCTCAGCATGTGTGTTTGAAGAACTTTTTCGTCCACTCATCTGCCTTTAAGTGGAGGACATATACAGCAGAGAAGATGAATTGAACACAGTCACCCTAGCCAGTGCTCAAGCATTTTGAAGAGAACTGCAAATAACCATAATGTAAAAGGGAACTTCTTAAGCCAAAGTCTGTATATGATCAGTTGATCCTCAAGGATGCACAAAATTATCTCTTTCCATTGCCTTAGCCTCTAAGATTAAGGGCGTGTCTGCACAGCAGTAACAGCTGAGGCTTCCGTCAAGCTAGTTAACTGGGGAAGTGCAGCCAATTATTCATGGTAACAGGGTTTGATTTTGGCTGCAAAGCACACTTGAAAAGTAGACTTAATTAATAGTCTATGCTGGGCTCCTAATGCTGTAGCTATGTTGCTCCTGGCACCTAAGCTAGGTCAGGTACGTCAACGAGTTATTCTACTCTGCTCTCATTAAGGACAGGATAATCGCTGAAGATTGTTCAAGATAGTGGAACCAAACACAACGAACCTTTGAAACCTCGGTCATCCATCACGTTACATTGAGCACAGCATCCAAGTGATGAGAGAACCAGGTAGCTGACCACACTGCATTGAGATCTGTGGTGGAGAACAGCCTATCTGTTCTGTCCCTCTCTTGATTGTAACGTTTCATTCTGTATTTGCTGTTGCCTTGGATCTTCACATGTCAAAGTCCATGGGTAAAAAGTCACTAATGAGCCATGATTCTTAAGGATAGCATGGAGTTTGATCTGGTTTTCCCCTCAGCTTGTTAAAAAGTCAATTGTACAAGTAGGCAGAAGGCAGTAGTTGTGTAATTAATAAAGTGTGTTGTGTATTTGAAAGCTATGAAAAGGAAGAAGCTGGTTAGGAAACAGAAAGAAGTTAAATAATTTCACTGTAAAATAAGCAAGACTTGCAAGCATCTGGATTTTAAAGTCGATTTTTATGTGCTGCTCATCATTATGGACTTTTTAAATCTCTCTCAAGGATGCTTAGAACAAAGAAATGAAGGTAATGGGGGTTTGTGGAGGTCTTCGAGGTCTGAAACAAGAGGAAGACACCCTGAATGTAATTGTCATGTTGAACTGTGATACTTGCTAAGTGATAAAAAAAGCAACAATGCAACAAAATGCATTTATGCTGCCAGAGGTCCTATATTTGGTTGGAGGGGGAAAATCAAACAATTATTTAAAACTGAATATTTTAATTAAAATATGCTGAATGTGCAAAGTAGATGGCTGTTGGTGACCACTTGCTAACAGGAAACAAATTTGTGTTTCATTTAGACATAGTACAGCATCTGTGTCTGAAACATAACATAGCTGATAAATTACTAATAGTTGGGCATGTGTTTTTTCCAAGAATTGTGCAAAAATTGTGCAAAACTTCATATGCTCCTTATTGACGAGAAAATTAAATATGGGGACTGGGGTTAGAATAAGTTCAGGAAAGAAAGCCGGTTTCTTTCAGAATCTCTGGATGCAAGTGTCTTACATGTGAAGCATATTCTTCCTTGTCTATTTTTCCATTATGTTTGGGTTTATGTATTTTTGCCTAAGTTCCTGCTCTCTATCTGTAAAACCGATATGAATATTTCTGAAGGATGACTTGGTCTTGTTTATGCAGTAGTGTACAGTCAGATTAATTCCACTGTCCTCAATGTTTACTGCAGATGATCGAGCACAGTAACAACGCAGTAACTACAGAAAAGATTTCCATTTCATTTCACGCTAAAAATGGCCAGCGGCCCAATGTGCTAATCTGTAAGGTGACAGTATTTCCTCTGGAATCTGCTAGTATGTCCTGCCTGTGGGAATAACTTTTGTTCCCCTTCATCTAACTAGTGGATTCCAGATGAAATGGAGGAATTGGCTGTATTTGCATGCCTTTCTATGTCTCTCTAATCAGGTTGTAACCTTCAGGATTTGAGTTGCTGCCTGCTCCTCCATCACCAAAAGAGCTCACCATAAGGATGTAACGGTTGTTTTAAAATGTGTGTGAGATATGGATTGTTTTCCTGACAAATATAAAAGTCTTGGAAACGTGGTGTAGTAACACATGTTCCTATTTCTCACTTAGAGATCCATGAAGGCTGTTTTTAAACCCTTGCAGCCATAATAACTACCTCTCTTCTCTTTCTCATAGCACCAGTCAGCTGCAAATGTAGTGCCCAGAGTTTTGTACTTCCACCAAGCTCTCAGAGTTGCTGCTGGTGTTCATTTCAGCACCCATCTCCTGCCAATAACTTGTCTGTCTGTCTACCACCATAATGCCTTCCTGATTTGGATGCTGAGGTAAACTTTAGTATACGAAATGGCCACCAAAGGGAAGCTATCCCAATTTCCTTTCATCTCCCTTGGTGTTTAAAAGCAGACTCATACAAATACTTTGTATTCCCTCGCTCCCAACTGAGGGATAACTTTCAGTAGCAGTTATGTGGCTGTGGTGAAGAAACACCCCCAGGGAATGCTGTGTGCCACAATCGAAAGTGAAAGATCCCTCACAAAAATCAAATTCATCACTCTTCAGCTTTCAGTAAGACCAGGCATCAGGCTCATGGGTTCCAGATGTTTTATAGCCCCTTGGCTGCTACGTGTGAACCTTCTGTTTGATAGATCCCTGTCTATAATCCAAAATCAACAAAAAAACGGTGTTTTAACAAGGGTCTTTCTTGCTTTGATAAATACTGGAAACAGCATCAAAAGCAGTTTTCAAAATACGTTTCTTTTTCTCTTTTGACCCTCTTTTACTGTAAATCTCTGTAGTGATTGGCTCTGTCAGCAAAATAAGGCATCAGATTTGTAGATAGACAAGACTTTGGCTTTAGCTTAACAAAGTCACATGTGAATATCTAGATAAGAGTTCATGCCCTGAGTTAACAGAAATTTGGAGTCAGAGCCTTGATGTGACTGAACAGCCAAGGGCCTCCCGTGAGGTGCTCCATTCCCCCTCAAGATACTAGATAACGTGGTAGGACAGCACCTTAAATCCCCGGTGTGCTGTGCTCTAAACATACCCTGGCGAATGCTAAAAGCCATTGAAAAGTCACAAGTGAGGACTACAACACCTACTGCAAACCTAAGGGGCAGGATGCCACTGTAGGTGCAGTAAATGGTTCCTTCTGTCAGGCATCCGCTGTACGTGCCGGCGAACCCAGCAGTGTAACAACAGCGTCTACCCAAAATGCTTCAGAGGCCGTTTGACCGATGGTAGTCGTGTGAATTCAGGTGTGTGTACGCCATGTGGTTATTGTTCTTACAGTGCTTTGATTTCACTGAGATGAAACCGGGGACAAGGTGGCAGCCTACCAGTTTCACATCCTTTATCCTCCCGCTACAACTCATAGGCAGGCGTGCACGCTGCCTGCCGTTATCTAAAAGGTGTGCAGGGATGCGGTGTCGGACAGAAGCAGGAGCCTGTTCCTCTCTCTTTTTCACTCTGGTACGCTCACTACACACGTACCGCTCCTCTGGTTACCTGCCAGGCGGGTTGTGCATGCGCGGGCAGAGCCTGACGTTGTGCCGGGTTGGGATGATGGCTCCACCATGGGGATGCAAGGAACACTTCTCTAAGCTCTAAGGACTAGGACTGTTGATGTTTCTCCGCAGGGAAAACTGCCAGGTACTTGCAGGCTCTGAAAGAAAATAAACTGAAGCATTTTGGAAAGAGAAAATGTTTGGTTATGGGCAACTGTTGGAAAATGATTTGCAAACACTTGAGCAACATTTAAAGCCTACCTTCCTTTTTTTTGACTGGGGCAGCAACTGGCTCAATTGGCATTTCAGATGCGATCCCAAGAGGTTTTTGGCAAGCAGTTTAATAGTTACATAGCAAGTAATTCAAGGAGTTTCAGAGATGTTGTATAGTTTTAAGTTTACTCAAAAAAAATTAAAATTATTTCTAATTAGTCCATTTCACATTGAGTGGCAGATAGAAATATATTTTGTTTAATCACTATCTAATACAGAGGCTTCTGTGAAAGAAAAGGTTTATTTGTAGCATTGGGTGCATTTCTCCTTTTTAAAGACTGTCTTTGCGCCTATAGTGTCCTTTTTTTGTGAGCTGGGAATTGTAAAAAAATGTAAAGTAGAAAAGGATGTGTTTCTTAGACGAAGGAGAAATACTGTAAAATTGTGTAAATGTTACTACTCATGTTTTTTCGTGTTCTGTGTAGCATAGTGTAAAATAGGCTTTCCAGCAGTGTTATTCTGTGAATTGTAATTTAAAAACCAAGCCATGCATGGTCAGAGATGTTATCTCCAGGTCCTTCTGTCTGGTTGAGTTTTTGTTTTTGTTTGTTGTTTTCTCATTTTAGGTAAATTTGTTTTAT